GACCTTCAAAGCGAGTAGTCCTTCCATATTTTCATAAAATTTCGCGCAACATCAAAGCGTTAGCCAGCAGGTTTAATATTGGCACTGCCTTTTCTACAGATTATAGATTGAGCCGTTTGACCCCTTTTTCCTCGACTGTCTCAGGTTGCACGATAAAACACAGAGAAAGGGATGTAGAATGTTCGTCGGGTGTCGTTTACAAGATACCCTTTGATTGTGGCCTCTGTTATATTGAACAGACTAAACGCTGTATAAATGAGCGCTTGATGGAACATAAACGTTGTATAATGAAAAAAGACCCGTACTCCGAAGTGTCAAAACATGTTATCGAATGTAGGAACTGTGCACCGTTGTGGCATTTAACTTCAGTAGTGTTGCGGGAAAAAGATGACCATAAGCGATTGATAAAAGAGTCATTAACAATATTAGGTCACGGGAACGCAGTTAATAAGCCGTCGTTTGGGTTGGACAACGAACTTCAGCGTTTTCTTAGGCTGTGAAAAGTTCTGACCTTCAAGGTTATCTTTGTAGGTTTTCCGGTAGAAAAAACGTTAAATCGTTTTCTTTTTTTTTTTTTTTGTGTGTGTGTGTGTGTGTGTGTTAATGGGTTAATGTAGGTTTTCGGGTAGAAAAAACGTTAAGTCGTTTTTGTGTGTGTGTGTGTGTGGGTGTGTGTTAATGGGCTTAGGCTTTCCAGTGTGTTTGGTGGTCGGGTAGCGAGGCGTCAAAGATAAGAGAGGTGCATGACGCAGAGTCCGTTGTCCTTGTATTTAGTCAAAGGTTACATTGGTGGAAAGTGTCATTCTTTGGGGTTCTCACCCTCTCCCCCTTTTTCTTTTTTCTTTTGTATCGAAGTGCCTATAGACCTTTTTCACAAGGGCGCCGCCATCTTGAAAAATCGTCACTTCTAGTATGGGCGAAAACATTGTTTTACCGTCGCCACGCCAATAGAATGCATTTAGGAGATAAGTGTAACCGTCACCCATTCTCATTTTGTCTCCCCTTTATTTTTTTACTATTTGCAGGTTGAAACGTTGTAATATTTTTTCGTTGCCCATACCGGATATGCCTTCTTGGCGGTCGGGGGCGAGAGTAAGCGGAAAAGGTCTATATAACCAGATTTCGGAAAATAAAATTTTCAGCTGTGTTAGAGACTTTTTAGTGTTGTGTCGTTTACCCGCAGTCTCGGGGTTTTTTCATCCATAGACGTTCGTTGTATTTTCTCTAGATCGTATTTAAATAATATTATAACAACGCCGTCCGCGTTTTTTTTTTTTTTTTTTTTTTTTCTTGCGGTAACTGAGAAGACGTTTAAAGGGGCCATGAAACAAATTTTGGGCCGGGATGAATTATTTTCAATTGGGACTTTACTAATCACATATCGTTTAGTTGGCCAAAAGAAAGAGGGTAAAAAGTCAAAAGCCAGCTTTTCGGTACGAACATTTGAAAATATACCGGACTATTAGGGCCGAAGCTCCTTAGGGTCTAGCCTTGTCGGTCCGTCCGTCCGGCCAGCCGGCCGGCGTCCGTGCTCACATAAAAAGAAAAAATGCTTGCGCAGTCGACAGGATTCGAACCTGTGCGAGGAGACCCCAATAGATTTCTAGTCCATCGCCTGAACCACTCGGCCACGACCGCGGGACCAGTCTTGCTGTGCGATGTGATAGTAACTCAAGAGCTGGGGTTTCTGTCATGGATGAAACGTTGCATGTAGCCGCTCAACGTCTATACAGGAGAGGGCGCTGCGGTCAAATGCGTTTATAATCGCGTTAAACTTTGCATGCATTGGCTCAAAGTTTATAGACGAGAGGGCGCTGCGGTCAAATACTCAAATGCGTATATAACTACGTTCCATACCACACATTCTCTTTCTGACATGGACCGTTGACTTAAGCGGTGGAGGTGCGTTCCCACGGCTTCTAGCATATCCAAGCTGATCCGCTAGAAGAGCAACTGGCTCTGCATTTCACCGACCATAAAGCAGTAATAATGAAGTCAAAACGGCAACCCGGAACTCAGCACTACCTATGAGCAATTAAAAAAAATCAGCACGATCAGCACTACCTATGAACAATAAAATCAGTATAATGAGCACCACCAGAGCTTCGCCCCAATCAACATCATTCACCACGTGGAGATGCGGTCATTTTTTTCTTTTTTTTTGTACCATCTTTCCTTCGAAAGCTCGCAGCCTTTTCACTATAATACATCCGCGGTTCCCAAAGCGCGTCAGTGGTGCCAACCTGACGTCAGCCGAGCCCAGCTCACGCATGGACACGAGAACTGCGTCACTTGGACGTATATGCGCTCGTCAACAATCAATCCGTCGACGAATATTTGGATTCGCGTTCGTGGCCAATGAGTGCCCTGACGGAACTTATCGTCACTGGTGAATGACAAGTTCTATGGTGTGCATAAAAAGCACGGTGGAGGCTAGGAGTCATCGCACCGGTGCCGAAGAATGTCACGACGACGTGATTTCACAATTCGCATTTGAGTTGAGGATTAAAGCTAAGGAGGAAGAAGTAAGCAAATCGTTTCATGACCCCTTTAAACGTGACGACTGCATTTTTATAGCATGAGCCATCTTTCTCTTTACTGTGGAGCACGTGAAAGATGGTTTATAGCTAAGTACGCTATTATTTTGTATTTGCTTTTTGCGTCTTATCACGAGGAGCTTGCAAGTCGCGGCGCGGAGCCAGCACATAACGAGTTCATTTCCCTTTGCCAGTTTTAATAAGAGCTGGCGTTTTACCGGCGTGCTGGCGTGCATCAGCACTAGTGCACAATGCGCGTTAAAAACGCCAGGTGAGCAGTCATGCTGCAGTCGTCATATTATCTATTTACAGCGGAGATTAGACGCCATTATTTACGCCTAATAGACCCTTTCCGGAATTCAGTGCCATCTGGTGACTCAAATGGCAGTTTAACTTTTACCGTACTAATGGCGGCAATGAACCTGTGGTCTCCAGTATTTTATGGGGCACCGTCACCTTCGCAAGTCAACGGTAAACGAGAATGTACACTTCACTGTACAGTTCTTTTTCAATCTCTTTCAGTGTCAATGGCGAAAAAAAATGCAACCAGCCAGAACGAGGCGCCAACCCACATAGACGCCTGGATAAAGTTATATACAGGGTGTCACAAAAGAAAATTTACACGGTCTTGTTTACCTCAAAAATAAACTATGCATCGCCGAACGCTCATTCTCCGCCCAAAGGTAGAGCTAGAGGTCACAACCAGATGCCAAAGTTTCAGCCCGATCTGATAACTTAATCAAAAGTTATAAGTGGTTTTCTGAAAAGTTCAATAGGAAAATGGAGCCCATTTTTGCCTGTTTTCGGTTTCTGGTGCCATAGAGCCCCATGTGTTTGAAAACTCCGTCGGCCGCCATTTTCCCATTGAAATTTTTAGAAAACCACTTATAACTTTTGATTAAGTTATCGGATCGGGCTGAAACTTTGGCATCTGGTTGTGACCTCTAGCTCTACCTTTGGGCGGAGAATGAGCGTTCGGCGATGCCTAGTTTATTTTTGCGGTAAAAAAGACCGTGTAAATTTTCTTTTGTGACACCCTGTACATCCAGGGGCTTTAAAGCCGAATGTGCGCACTAACAGTTTGATTGGGCCGGAGTTAGAAACGAACGCTTACGCATATCTTGCATCAAATTCCTGCTACCGTCGCGCTAACGTCTAGAATATATAGGCCTCGAATCATCTGCTTAGAAGCATCTTCAACTTCTTCCTTCATGAGTAAACAGAAGACCGCCATTAGCATAGCGCATATGCCATTTTTCAGATGATGATAGTGATCGAAGTGGCCAGACTGAATTCCTGAAAGGGTCTATTGACTTCCGTCTGTCGAAACACTAATATAACAAAATGTCTATTTTTACTTCCATGTAACATGATGTGTTACATGGAAGTAACCTTTTAGGAACCGTTCAGAAGTGGCTAGTGATTTTTTAAAGGGGTGTATTGTAAGCAGGCAAGTACACATGCATTGTTTTTGTTTTTTTTTTATTAAACGTGAAGGGAAAAAAAAGGAGCATCCCCAACACAATCGCTAACATTACTAAATTGTAATTGATGAACTTGACCTCATCTGGCTGTCGTTTTGCGTGCTATCATCAGAAGGGTACGTCTGTCTATGTTCTCAGGTTGTAAATCCCTTCGTTGAAGACGCTGCCAACCTGCATAGTACACGTAGCGTTGAAATGGTGGTATATGGAGGGCTCCCCTCAAGATGAGCGTCTCGCAGTCGCGGTAGTACTGAACCATGGGAGCGCTAGCTAGAGCCCGTCGTAATATAACGTCGAAAGCCCGCACATGTATCCAGCCCTTTTCTTGGCAAGCGTTAATTTCACCTCTGCTATGGTGTTTTTGCGCACACAAATTGTTCGACATAAAAGTGTACATATGTTCTAGAGTCGTTTCCCTAACACTAAAAAAAAAACAAATGCAAGTACGTAATTGACACAATTGTTTCCCGTATTGATTTTCTCGAATACCTTTTTTGTTTCTTAATTAATTTTTTGAAGCTGATGTCATCAGACTTTTCAGTAAGATATATTCTGTATGTCCAGACTACATCATAACGAAACATTAAATAGGTGGTTCGACTATTTGGCGTTCACACCGAGACCCGATATGTGTCTATACAATACATTTGATATGACTCTAACTCACCCGTTATTCTATTGGCCCTTGCCAGGAGCCGTGACGTGCGATTATTACTGTGAGCCCGACAGGAGCGTCATCCTTCGAGCTTAAGCGTGCGTGAACCTAACAAACAAATTTGTTCAGTGTATCTAGACTGGGGAGAACTCTGATGTACTGTCCCAGGGCAAGCTCCGTCATGGTCGATCAGGTGTGACACGCGGTTTGGACGTCTCAGGCGCTTCAACTCACTCGAGATCGTTGAAGTGATCCGTGCCAATGCTGTAAAAGCCAGCCGAGGCAGGCGACAACGTTACTGGGCGTCAACGCGTCGGTGCCACGATGTCCTCAGCATGGTTTCACAGCGTACTGCTGCTTATGATTTGGCCGTTCGTACGTGGTGATCGGCCTGCTCAAGACCTGGGCACAGGTCCTCCTCCCCATGGCAGTGAGGACGAAGAGTACTACCTCGAAGACACCGGCGAAAAGGAGTATTACTATTACGATCAGGACGAATACTATGAGTACTTCCAAGGTACGACATTTTCATTCAGTCTCTCCTCAGTTTGTAACCCGTAATCTCCTAAAAAGATTTTTAAAAAAAATTTGTGAGTGTTTTTTTAAGCGTGGGCAAGACCGGCGCTTGTTGTGCCGGATTAGTGCATTTAGTTCAGAAGAACAGAGTATGTGAGAGCTCACGTCTATTCGTAAGACGTATCTTGAATAAAATATCGCCGGTTGCCTGCTCCGGAAGTATAGGGTTGAAACTGGAATCGCAGTTCCTTCGTTGCGATTTGTAAGTGTTGGCCTGAAAGCGGCTGGTAGGACTCCGGGCGTTCTTGACTCGGTAGCAACGCGTAACACACCACTGCGTCGTCCATGTGTGTCCCATGGGTGTATTTTGGCCTATTTTGTGTCAAGATTTCTTCGACGTGAATACACGGAAAACGCAATGTAGATATTCCGGTTTCAATTCCCGCTGGATCTTTTACGGCGCATCGTCCGAATGTGTTTTATAACGATAGGTGTACGTTGATCTTCCTATACAAAGTAGTACCTATAAATTACCATATGCTACAGCAACGCTCGAGGATCCTTTATTATCCTGTAGTTTGAAAATGAAAGTTGTTATTGATGTTGTTGCGGCTGTTTTTTTTTTTTTTTTTGTTTTTTTTTCAGACAGGAAGCCTGTAGCTCCCCTCAGGAACCGTCGTATGGACAAATCGATTAACAAGATACGACGCCTGGTACAAGCAGGTTTGTAAATGTTGCATAAACAAGCGCAATTTGAATGTCTAAGCGAGTTGCGTTTAAAGATAAATGGTCGAAGTTTCAGCAGTGAGCCTCAACGCATTGCGCGACATGGACTCGCACAACTCGCGAGTTTTGTTTTTCGTTTAGGAGAGATACCATCCTCGTATCTATAGATCGTTCCCACTTTAGCTTCTACGGTGAAATATATATATATATAAATAAGAAAGCGTCGTGAAATGCATTTCTTATTGTATTTCTTTTTTTTCAACAGCGGTGCTGGCGTGCAACGAAACGGAGTTGATTCATTTTAAAAACATTTGCGAGAAAAAAATGGACCTGGTAAAAGTGTTGCAGAACACGACGCTCCGGGGTAAAGTCGGAAAGGCCTCTCGCGTGCGCAAGATTTGCAGGTGATGCCCTTCATCCATCAGCCTAAATCCTCCGGATTATTTTATCTCGGGCGGCTGCGCACGTTCGTGCATGGAGGTCGGCTAAATTTACGTCCCGTCTTTGCCTTCCCCTCTTTATTTTTGTCTTGCTCGATCATTTTTTTTAACATTGTCTTCTTATCATTTTCGAGTCCGTGAGCTGCTTTTATTCATGATCGACGTTGCGCGCAGCAACGTTTTATAAGAACAGAGTTTAGTCTGCGAAACCCCCGGTCCGTGCCGCGGGGAGCCGGCCACTGCGGCAAGTGTGAAAACGAGCGCGCCTAACGTTGCGACGGTTTTTAGAGGGCCACTGAGTACGCTAGAGTATAGGCGCTTTATTCAACGACTATCTCGTGGACGACGCCATTACGCTGCTTAGTACAGGGCAGGCTCAATAGACCTTTTTCAAAAGTTTATAAAGCAACATCGGCGGTCGCCATTCCTTGGGCACGAGGTGAACGCAGACGCAACCCTCGTGGCCAGTACATGCTCAAAAGTACGTCCCCAAACGGCGACTCAGATAAATGTCACAGGAGCTCTCAAATGGCGCGCACTTTTGAAAGTGGTCTAATGACGTTAGTTAGCATTTGGAAATGCCACTTTCAGAGCTTGAGTAGTTTAGGTACGGTGTCGGGAAGCTCGGGTGATATTTTTTTTTTTTTTTTTCGATGTGGCGGATTGTTTTAACATTTCTGGAGAAAGGAAACTCGTTTCCTGCGATTTCAGATGAAGATTCAGATGACTTGTGAGCAGCTGAAGTGTCCTTACTTTGAAACGTAGCTTATCTATAGTGATGCTAACAACAGGTGGTGCTTCGGGGTCACCGTTGGTCGGGGTGCACTGTAGTCAGAAGCTCCTGGCCGCTAATATGTCGGAGCGTCTCGAGCGGTACACGTAAAAACTCGAAGACCGCGCGTGCTGTTTAGCAGGCAGATATTTGCTGCTTTCTTGCAAATTTGTTTACAGTCAATGGTGCTGGTTTTTTTTCCCTTCTCGTGTTTCTGCCATATTTGCTTATCCCGCCATGGCAAACACCGCTTTAAAAAAAAAAAAAAAGGAAATTAGCTGTGTGGGAAGGGGTCATATCAAGTAGAGAACTAATGTTGGCTCCTTGTGCTCAGCTTCATGTAGCGATGGTGAACTCTATAGCTTGTGGCGTCACGAGTTACGGCAATGCCTTTCCCGTATCCTTGTTGCTGCATTTCTTTGAAGTGTGCATTAGCCTGAAGATTTTATAGCATGGCTGCAGCATTCATCATTTGTTCGGTCCATGGCCCCCTACATAGGAGGTTACGTTCATGCAAACAATCCTGCAGGTTTTTGTACTGCGTATACACCACGACGGACTTGCATTGCGTCATTAATGTTTTTTTTTGTGTGTTGAGTAATTGAAAGTTGTAGGATAGCAGAATCAACAAAAAAAATTGGTATGCTCTTTATGTTTATACAGCCTTGATGGAGATGCGCCTCAACGGGTAATCGGTCTCTTAGCTGTAGATGAGAATTTTAGCCAGTGCAGTACAACTGCTAACCGGGGATTCTTAACGTGCATCACGCAGTAGTGATCACACGAACGCGTGCCGGTACGAAACTCGTGTAGAAGTTTGGGCTAGTTGGTATTTCATGATTAAAGATTAAAACAGCGCAAGGACACGGACAAGAACAAGAAGGTAGACAAACAAGCGCCTTGTTTGTCTACCTTCTTGTTCTTGTCCGTGTCCTTGCGCTGTTTTAATCTTTAATCACGAAACTCATCCAGATCGAAACGGGCGGGGGCGGCGGGGATCGAACCCAGGAGGTTCCCAGCGTAAGCTTTCGCTCCACGCTCAGAGTAGCAGAATCAATGAAATGATAGACAGTTTTAGCACGGCGTTACTGCAGGCTACCGTGGGCACGGCAACGCTCCTTGCTCGCGAAAGAGATTGCTTTGAATGTGCAACGCGAGTTTCCGGTAACAATACCGCTCGGGTAGCGCTATGCTAAAACTGCCTAATGTCCGCCTTCACCGCTCAAATGGCCGTTCCGCTGCGCGTAGGCTGGTGAGGCAGTACGCTGACTGCATATCGGCCATGGTTCCTAGCGGCGACTGCCCCGACGTGGCCTTCAGGCTGAAGACGGATGCTCAGCGCAGTATCTACCGCCAGGGCTTCCAGATGTGTCGCTCGCCCGGTCTTGCTCCTCCGCACTTCTCGCTCGTCACTGTCGCCCTCCTGTTGGTGTGCGTCGGAGAAGCATGGCCGAAATAAAAAAAATTTCCGAGTCATACTGGGACGGCACTCTACTCCGTGCGGCGCCAAAGCGGCCAATGATTTGCAACTCCAGAATAACGAAGCTTTTAGATTCTCAAAAGACTAGAGAAAACCTAGCCTGAACCCAGAAAGGCGCTTGTTCATGTTTAGGTACACGGAGAGCTCCAATCAACTTGACCGAATGGTTGCTGCAAAAATGCACTGTAGATCTGCCTAAATGTTTGCTCGTACAGCAAAGCGTTGTTACTCGTCTCGCTGTGCCTCAGTGCTTCTGTATCCTTCTGGGAGCTTACGAAGCTATGACGTTTTTGAGCCACGGATAGAGCCATTTCGTGTTGCACGGTTTTAACGTTCACCGGCTTGGCGGTCGTCCAAGTCTAATTCAGATTCATGTCCAGGTTTGTATATTTTACGAAAAATTCACTACAAATGCACAAAAATTGTTTGGACCCGTGGTCTCAGTGGCCATACTTCGTTTCAGCTTCAGTCCAGACGCAGCCGACGCAACGAGGTAATGGGACTAATCATGCAGCGTCAAAACCGCAAGTCCTTTTCTGTTTATGATTAGTTCAGCTATGATAGAACACGTACAGAAACATGAAGAAATCCACCATGGTGAGCTTTTCACGCTGTCTGATTGGTCCCATCAGCTCGTAGCGCTGGCTGTGTCTAAACTTAAGGGGAAACGAACTCGTATAGGCAACCTGCAATGCTGTTTGGTGTGGCGCTATCTAGCGACCGAAGCAAGAAACATTGGGTAGGCCTGGGAGTGGTGGTTGCGTAGTTCAAACGTGAGCTATTACTCTGGTGGCTCCGCCTGGCCTAGTGTCTGAAGCAGGAAATACTAGATAGGCCAAGAAGCCGTGATGTCATAACATGCCAGTACGTCAGAAGCTACGGCCCTGCCGGGCCAATCGCAACGTGACTACGTATCACCGGAGTGCCCTTTTACTGCAAAAAAGTGTCAGGTTTTTCGGTCATGCTCCAATATGTGAGCGTCGCTCTTGTATACGTAGCGCGCATCGAAGCCGTCGGTACGGAATGTGGGGCTTAGCGTTCACCATTTGCCAAGTTACAACGATACAGGGTATGACCGTGGGCTCTCACTCTGCTGGCGCCACCAGACTGTTCCCGGCAGGCTATAGTGTCGGGGTCAATCACAAAATAAGTTGAAGTGAAAAAAATTCTTCGCTTTACGGCGTATACGAGCACAGCCCAGCAGATGCGTGTTGGCCGCTTTGGGAAGGGAGCAAAGCACGCGCCATACGCATCAAAGCTAAAAATAGCACCGGCCAGAAGCCCCTTTCTTGAATGGTCCGTAACATCGTCTAAAATTGGGCAAGTTTTCGGAGTACCCAACTATATAGTGTGTGTTCTGTGTTAGCTGCCTCTAGAAGAGCGACGCGCATCATATTATTCCCGCAGTCTCCCAAGACGAAAGAGCCGACGGACGCCGGTAGCTTGGACTGGATAGCCTCAGGAAGATTGGCCCCGAGCATAATGACCCCTCGGCCCTCTCTCCCACTAGTTACGATTTCTCCCATATTATTACCGGAAAGTCGTTTGGGAAGTAAGTTTCTTGCCAGTCGGTAACTTGATAGACTCACGAATACAGGATATCCATACACAAGGCTCGAGTTTTGAAACTCGTATTTTTATTAATTTGCCCATGTTACCCGCTATTTTATTCGGGTCTTCCACACTTTCCTGTTTATGCATAATACACATCCGCGTACATCACCGTGAAAAATGTTTCAGGTGTCTGAGACTAAATCCCTATTATATTTTTATTGATATCAATAACATGAACAGAGGTAATTAATGTGGCACTGACTTTGCTTTCTACAAATGATGCTGTCTATAAGCTATAACTTTACTGCGCTCAAATATTGCGCGGTGTGCACACCCTTGTATGGAAACAGCGAAACATTTAAATACATTTATTGTAGGAGTGGTTGCCTTCCACTGTGGGGTCTCAATACAATTGAAAACTAACGACTCCATTAAAAGTATTTAATAAAGGACCGTGAAGGTTTTCTCATCCTCTGACGATGAACATTTTAGAAAATGCTTACGAAACGCATGTCATAAGTTAATTGTTCTACTTCAAAAGCTACTGTATTCTTGCGTGAGCTGATCAGCTCTACTTGATTAGCATGTCCGAAAGTGAATAGTGAACGAGTCATTGAATATGTTTAAAGGCTTTAAAGCCTACTGGCCCGTCGACAGCGCACCATAGAAATTGGGCAGTTAACTTCCTGCATGATTACATGCCGACCAAAGGGACATAAACACAATTTGTTTTCATGACACTTTATTACACCAACATTTAGAGCATGCGCTTAAAGAAAGCACATTCGGAATACCAACGTTGAGGTCTTGGTGGAGTAAAATTGACTGGTACCCGACGACGCTGCCCTTGCAGGACACACCAAAAAGAATACTCAAAAAGAAGGCTCATTATGTACATATTGGTAAAAAATATATTCAAACGTAGGTATTAAAACCGTTCTTATAAATAATAAGTTCAAGACTCAATATATAATCAGGTACGTTTCAAACAAGCATTCTGTGAGTGGTTGGAAAGTTGAAAAAAAAAAGCCTAAGGAAGAAATTACGCAGCTTAAATATGTAGTGGTAGAACTTTTAAGTGGCGGTACTTTTTCAAGATGACAACACGAGAACTTCGAAATGCATTACTTATCACAGAAACACCTGTCTTTTGTTTGTCTGGCACAAGTATTTGGCATAATGTGCAGTTCGAGGCAATGCACAAATGCTACTTATTAAATGCGCATAATCAGTAGACTGAACTTTAAGTCCTAAATCTGGATTCAATAAAAAAAACTTAATCCAACATAGTGCAAATTCATGTGCGCCTTAGATTGGGAGTGTTTACAACATATTGAGAACGTTTTACACCCAGGAATAATATCGCTTTGTTTGTTTCTTCTTTTTTTTAACAAAAAACAATCGAGCTGAGAATTTTCAGAAGTGTTCTTCCAAACAACGAAAACAATATATTACCCGAGTTGCTACGTACTCTAGAACATCCAGAAGAAACTCGACGAGCACGAGGACAGTGAGCGTAATTTTACGCGCTGATTACAAACTACAAGAACATTGGTCACGTGACTGAACACCCAGATAACTCTTCACAACCCAAATGAAGCAGTAAAGTCACGATATTGAAAATATTAAGCACAATGACTGAGGCAATAATGTTATCCTGGCTTTCACTCCACGCCAAACTTAGGTGTTGAACTAAAAAATCGTCAATCTCTTCTGAGCGACTTTGCGGTCATAACCATAAAAGCAAACCTCTTGTTTGTAATTTTAATAACTTTTCATTAAAAGTTCATAACTAGAAATTTGTTACGAATGAGTATAACACGAACATTGTGGAGTATGTGGAATTGTATTCTTCTTTAGAAATATATGTATGAAGAGTATTTTCCTGTTCAGCTGAATGCCGTAAATGGTCAAAGTAGCACTTTGCTCTGAAACTTGAATTTGAGTGTAAGTTAGGAATCAACTTATTTTTTTATAAAAGATCAATTACTCATATCAAGATTTCTGCGTGCAGCATCACATATCACGAGTTTGCGACCAGTCTAATGTCCTGTCAGTTGAGGAACTTCGTTTTAGAAGTAGCATGTAGAATGCCATCGCTGTTTTTCACTCTATTTTGAAACTGACCGTAATAGTAGCCATACTATCTTGTATTATTTTTGTTCGAAAAATAACCGACCGTGGCCTTTAGCTGAGAAACAAAAAGGACATTTAATGTACTTTCTTACCTTTCGGTGATCAGTATGTTACAGATACAGAAACATCAACGAAGAATAGGAGTATTGCATGATAATGCGAATAATAACAACAAAAAAAAACACCTATCCTAATACTATATTTTCTAAACACCCCGGCCACACGCACTCATTAGGTATGCTCATTAGCATCACCACAGCAAGCGCAGAAGTCTCCGAAAGTAAGCGTGCTCCCTGAGAATTTGTCCTCCACATTCTAGAATGTTTTGACAGGATTTGCTTTGAGCCGAAAGTCGTCCATTTTCTTACACCTTTCGCTACTGTTCTCAGACCTGTGATATCTGTGGCACCTGCCGCACAGGTCTTTAAATGTGATCCGGATATTTGGGTGTCCTAATATTCCTACCGCGAAATGTCATAGACCCCTTTAAATTTGCAGCAGCTATGAACGAATGCATGTTGGCACATCTTAGCATCGCCCGATTCGATACGATGTCACATCCTTCTCCATTCACACGAATCCCATAACCTGACTACATCGCTAGAAAAGATTTTCACTTTTTTACTTTCGCGTGTGCGCGAAAATCAGATCGGAAACAAACGTGTCAGGTTCAGGAAGTTTGTGTATCATACGTAACGTTCTTCTAGACGTGTCGTGTAAAGCCGTAGGAAAGGAACTTAATGCCTACACAGGCTGCCTCATCAAAGCAAATTCGCATTAGACGGACATGAACCCTGGAAGAGGTCCCGGTGCCCGACCGCGTTGTGTGGTCATGTACTGGATGTGCCCAAGATCCGCGTTCTTCGGTCACTTGAGTCCTTTCCTCTTGGGAGGCAGCTCGTCAATGTCCTTGATGCCGAGGACACAAACCCTGGTCTCCCAGAGGGCGTCCGCCAGCTTTTTGCGAAATCGCTTGTCGTCCAGAGCGGAGGTGCGTCGCTTGCGGCAGGGCTTCTGTCGCAGCTTGTCAACGCATGCGAAGAAAGCCTGAAACCACATTAATGAAAGAAAAGAAAAGAAAGAAAAACGTATCAGTGACACTATAATAGTAATAACTATGCTTCTATCAAATTTGATAGAAATGAAGGTCCGAGGAAAAAAAGCTGCAGAGTGCAGCTCCCAACAACGGTCAGCTGCATACAAGCGTGCAGGAAATGCACATAATTCAACATGCACGTAAACGACAGGAAAAAACGAGTGAAAATCTCTTCTCTACAAAGTAAAACAAACTGAAAGTGATAGAAATCGATGTGCCACGTTTAAGCAAAAACAAAGAAAAAACATTTAAAAAAGAATAAGGTAGGAGGCAAATGCCTTCTCAATAACGCCAAGTTTTCCGAAAAGCATATACCCCTTACTTTCTAACCCTCCAAAAACTAGTGCACAATCTATATTCAGTCGACTTTCCGCAGCATACCTTTATTCACCAACCAAGCGAAGCAAATGAACTTGAGCGGGAAGCTATCTCGTAGGTCAACTCTATAGGTACATGGAGGGCGACATTATAAGTTCGTTTTAACTTGGGAACTGCATGAGGATGAAAAATATACTAATCTCGAAAAGCGCTTAAAACCTAGGACACTGCCTGAAAACGTGCATCTGACTATCTGATTTCGCAAAGCCGCGTGGCCTTCGCTCGCATTTTCGATACGCACGCCCATAAATCTGCGGGTCTTGCGGATCATCCAAACATAACGCAAACTCCGCGTTGTGCAGTCTCGTGAGAACAACGAACGTCGCTTGTGATGCCACCCACACCTACCGGACTAATTCAACCGTGTCGCCAACAAAGATGAGACTTTAAAGTTTGAGTTTTTTTTTTTTTTTTTTTTTTCTGTTCGAAACAGCGCGGATACTGAAATCAATTAAAAATCGAAATCTGTAGCCAGCACCCCGCGGAATGTAGGGAGAAGGTTTGTTTCAAGAGGAGGGACAACTATGAAAAAGCGGACGTGCAAAATGTACATACGTTTTGTTGCTCGGTTGATTGAATTATTGAGGTTTCGTGGAGCAAAAGCGTATCACTACTCTGTCAATCTTTACCAGGCAGTTATTGAACAGAATACACATTATGTTGCCTATGGTCGGCCCATGCCAACTTTCGTCAGCCTTTTGCGCCATGCATTTCTCCTGTTCGTAATTTTCAGCTGAATGCATTCTTTCGTCCATTTATGTAAGTACCTATGTGAAGTGTAAGGGACCTGTGCCTCGTCGAGCTCGTTAGCCTTTTGCCGTGGCCCCTCTTTCGGACGCTGTCCGAAAGAAAACAAAACGAAATAATCTCGTCGTGAATTAGTGTCGCGGTGCGGACCAGAAAAATTAATAGTGTGTAGTTTATTTATTTATTTATTTATTTATTTATTTGATAATACTGCCAGCCACAAAGCGTAGTGCTTTTTTTGTATTTTTTTCTAGACGGCTTATGCTTATTTGTGTGTATATGGATCCTATACCGAAATGGCATATTCTAGTAATGGCCTAAAAATAGTAATGTAGGCAGTCTTGTACACGTTACTAAAAAAAAGTAATCGATTACAATTACTATTACTCTTGGCTAAAAAGTATTCGATTAGATTACTTGATTACTCGACGACAAAAGTAATTGGACATTACTTAAAGAAGTAATCGTTACTTTTCTGATTACTTTATTCTGTGAAGACATCTTTAGCGCTCATAACAATGAACTACTTCCAACCTATATTTCACATTTGGACAAGTATTGAAGAAGAAAAACTGGCTCCCTCTTCGTGGTCGTTGCACCTTCACAATGCGGACACAAGCATAGAATTCGTTTGAAGACGTTTAATGATTTGGGCGTTCGCCAGTGTGTGTGTGTGTGTGGGGGGGGGGGGGGGGGGGGGGGGAGGGGGGGGGGGGAGGGGAGCGGAGGGGGTTCTAGATCTTGTTAAGCTTGATCAAGGGGTGTCGCTCAAAGTTTGCGTCGCTCATTTTATTATTCACATGTGGATGAGCTCGCATGTTATACAAAAGAGCAGCAGCTCCAGGATTTGAAACGGATCATGTGTAGTATCCATTAGCAGAAGAGATCGCCCCGACCACTTCTCAACTCGAAACATTGCTTGTCACAAAGACCGCGTAGGGGAAATGGGGAAATATTTCAACTGCCTTTGTTATATTTTGCATCCGCTTTAGGCATTCTCCGGTTCTGGTTCGCCTACGGGCTGCGAGTGGGTACCCTAACCAGAATATTTTTATTTATGTGTGTGTGTGCGTGAGGGGGCTAGTTTGAACGAAGGACTCGCCAAGCTACATTCTGCTTCCTCAAACTTCGCCCTGAATGGCCTTTGTCACGCACTGTGGCTTCCGTGGGGCTTCCCACTCCCAGTCCCAGCTCGAAAAAAAAAACAAAAAACGGACATTCCACAGGAACTGTACATAGAAAGAGATTGACCTCGTTTACTACAGTTCCGCAAAAATCTTTCTTTTTTCCATTCGAAAAAAAAGCAAATTTTATTTCTGTCATTTCATAAAAAAAAGGCGTGGTGCCGGGGGAGGGGGGGGGGGGGGGTGTCCGTAGACAAATTGTAACGGTTACAAGTAATTTTATTACTTCAAAAGTAATCAGATTACACTTGTGATTACTGCCTAATAAAAGTAATCAACTGATTACAAAATTACTCCAAAAAGTATTCGATAACAAGTAATTTGATTACTTGTAATGCGTACGGTACAAGTCTGAATGTAGGCCATTAATTTGATTCCGGGTGTGCAGTACTGTGGTTTTCTTCTTAACATCCAGAGTGTCTGTGAAGCGTTAGCGGATATGTAGTTTATGTGCGCATTCCAATTGAGATTTGATGAAATGATGACTCCAAGATATTTATATTCACTGACTGTTTGCAAGGGTACGTTATTCATTGAGTAACTAAAATCCAAAAGAAATTTGTTTCGCGTTATAGTCACCTGAGCACACTTTGTACAGTTTAATAGTTATTGCCAAGTCGAACACCAATTGCAAATGGATGAAAGACAGTTATTAAGCGCTTGTTGGTCTGCAACACAACCTATATCAGAAAAAACTACACAATCATTTGCGAACAATCGGCACTGCACTGGCGTGTTGATTGTCAAGTCGTTCTGGAAGTTGATGTTTGCCTCCTAGAACGCAATTTCTGCATTCACCATGCTAAAAGGTTGTGCGCAACATTAGAGGCGGCGGGGGTGGTACAATAGTATTCCTAGTTTGTATTGTCTTAGTTTCAAATTAAACCATCCACTTACTTTTCTCAGCGTGCACTGAGTATTGTAGTAATCCGCTCCAGACAGGTATTCGACGAGGTTGAACGCCCGCATGAAGTTCTGGCCACAGCGGTGTAGTGCCACCTTGTGGCAGATCTCAAATGCTGAAATACACAAGCCCCGCATGTTACAGATGGCTCCAACTTCATGAAGGTGGCTGTGCGCGTGAACCTGTCTTTTTCTTCTATATTATAGCTTCTTTTATGTGTGAGCGAAACCGAAGCTACAAGCGGGAGCATGATGCCCTGAAGGCTACATGCACGAGGAGGCGTGCTTGTTAGGGACGCTGAAAGTCTGGAGCTCGCTCTTGTAGCTTTTGCTACACGTTCGGGCAAACCTAGATTCGCACTTAAACATTAGAAGCCGCCAACAACAGGTTGATTTGGACGTACCGTTTTCCTCTGTGCGATTCTTGTTCTCATCTTGGTACCTCTGCAAGAAGTCTTGCTTCTTGACCCTGAGAACGACATGGCATGGCGATCGCATCAGTATTTTGGTCCAAGATTTCGTGGCATAATCTCCCACGGTATACGGTTTCTAAAGTGCTTACTTGTACTTGATTTCTCTCCTGGGTTCGGCGACCACGACGAGCACCGAGATGAGGAGCACGGTCATGGCGGGGAAGCCCATCCCGAAAGGCCGTGCAGAGGAGGCGTTTCCTCGAGCGCCGCAACTCGGAATCCTGAAAGAAAAAATCGTCATTTTGTAGCTCAGGACAGCGTTCACATGCTAGCAAAACTGATAATACAAGCAAAACCATAAATCTATTTTTTTTTTTACAGTGCAATGGGATGTGATGTACACAAATGACTAGCATGGCGCCCCAACTGGTCCCCCTTGCGTGCAAGCATGTGCAGCTTGCGCGTGAACATAACTTTGTCAAGTTTGAAACTGCACGGGCATTCCCGCACGAGCAGAGACATGGCGGCGGCCAGTTGCCCTGCTTGCAATCGTCTGTACACCAACTCAGTGTTGATAAAGAATAATGTTTTCGTGTGCTAACTGTGGGCACTTCGGGCACTTCACATATGCAGAAGGCCATATCTGTTTCCCATATATGTGCGAGCATAGAGTTATTACAATAAACGCTAGACGCTCAGCTGGCGCTAATGTCAACGGGACTTCCAGTTCCGAATTGAAGCGGACAGCAAACAGTCTACTTTTCCAGTCTTCCTGTGTATACCTATTAGAAAACATACGTGATATCTTCGCCAGGGAATAATAGAATCAGCGTAGTTTGTTTACTCTAACGGTACTATGTAGGTTTATTCACATTATAAAAGAGTAATTTATTAAGTTAATGTGTTTTTTTTTGTTGTTTTTTTTGTTTTTGTTTTTTGTTTTTTCATTACGGAGCGATGTTTAAGTTACCGAAAATTGAGGCCCACGCCTATGTTGTACAGCGTGATATGTCCAGTACAATCTATCAATTCAATCAAAAAACGTGAAAGACTTTTGAAGTGGCCTGTAACGCCGCATTGGAGCACAGCACGTGAGGAGGGGAGGGCACGGAGGGAAGGGTATACGCCTCCTCCTTCCCCGCTAAATTTAGCGGGAATATTGGCAATGTGAGATGCGTGGATGTCACGTGTGACGTCATACGTCGCGTGACGTCACGTGCGACGTCATACGTCGCGTGACGTCACACGCCACGTGTTTTCCATAATGACGTCACACGTGGCGTCACGAGAGTAACGTTTCGACGTTACCCTCGTGACCCTCACGGGCGTCACCCTCACGAGGGTAGCGTTTTGACGTTACCCTCGTGACTCTCACGAGGGTAACCCCAACGGGAATTGGGTTACCCTCACCCGTGAAGGTAACCACCCTCGTGAGAGTAACCCTCACGGGGGTCACGAGAGTTGCCTTCATCGGTGAGGGTAACCCTCACGGTAGGTAACACTCACGGGGGTAACCCGGCCCCGTGAGGGTTACCCTGACGAGGGTTACTCCCTCGGTAAACAAGACCACTGACTGATGTCATCCTTGAGTACTCGTAAACTGTCAGACAGAAACCTAAAATATGGCAAAACCCAGGACTCACAGGGCAGAACCCTCACAAAGGTAACCCTCACGGGGGTGAGGGTTACCCTCGCGATGATAACTCTCGTGGGGGTTATCTTCATGAGGGTTACCCTCGTGACGTCACACGTCCCATAATGCAACGCGCGGTTGTGCCGACGCCACTCAACCCGCAAACAGGCGCCTAAGAGCTGCGCTCTAAATGAACAATTAAAAAGTGCGTAGGGTTTATTCAAGCTGCAATAGCATTCAGATGACGGAAACGCAGTTTGTCACTAATGCAGAGTTTGTTACTAATCCAGTACGTGGTCATCGTTCCATAACTTCATGCTTCGTTCTTGTTGTATGTTTTGATTGTTTGGTTTGGCATATATTAGCATACTTTTGGTGTTTTATCAAGCTGATTCACTGTGTGTGCGTCATAGCATTGACTATATGCGTAAATACGTGCTCTATAATAGCCGTCTGCAACGTAAACACGTATTATGCATGTGCACTGGGCTATCTGAGCGCAGTGCTCAACGCCATGAATTCCAAAGGAAAACACTTTAACCGAAACATATTTTTGTACATCCGATTTTACAACGTTCCAAACTTTTTATTCTTTCACAACATTAAGCGAAATTTGCTCTTAAAATCGAGCGCGAAGAGGAAACGCATTTGCATTTTCCCATATTAATGCATTTCCGAAAGTCAAATTTAGACTGTTGGCTGACTGTTTTAAAATGCAACAGCACACTAGCGCCACCTGAACATAGCGTTTATTTTAATAACTCTATGGGTGCGAGCGAAGCCGAAATTACAAGCACGTGCATGCTGCCCTGCCTAAGCGTCCGTTCCAAGCGCGTAGCTCGGTCTTGCCGCTTGTGGTCAAACTTGAAAGTCACACAGGCACGTGCGAAACGCCCACAATTTGCGCGTGAAGCGTCGAAAAAGCGCCACCGCCGTGACGTAAAGTCAAAGGTACGAGTTCGTGTATAAAACGAACTACACCCTCCTATTGATGATCTGCACAAAGGTAAACGGCAGTCGGCTTTTCGTGGTAGGCCCAGAGCTCTAAATAACGTCCTTCGTAGGATTTCGCCTCATTTCGGCAGCTGTCGATAGGGGGTATTCATTGGACGCCACTTTTGAGGGCGCTGTTTAGAGTGCATGCTTAGAACGAGCTCACATGAGGGAGTTTTAGAATAGTTCACGCTAAAGCTTTGCGTACGCAAAGAATAGCGCCGTCGCCACTGCGCATGCGCCGAACGCTAACCACGCTTTGCGCTTTGCGTGCGCTGTTTTAGCGTACGCTATTTTTCGGAAGTCGCGTGCGTACACAAACAGTCTTTGCGCTCCTCCAAGGAGGATTGGTGATCAGAAGTTGGCTAAAGCCAAGACGAGCACAGTTAAAAAATGGCGGCTCCCAGGGCCACGGCTGTGTCCGCTTTGGCGGGGTCGTGAGCGGGACGTGGGCGGCATCCTCGCGACTGCGATTTTCAAAACGGGTCGAATTTGCATTCGGTTTGGAAAAATCAGTAAGGAGCAACAATCACCGCGAGACCTCTCTTGCCGAGGCGACGCCCGGCGAGGCCCAAGTGAGGCCAGAGCGAAAAGCGAAGCCCGAGCCCCCCTCCGGTTGTCGACGCATATGCACTACCGGAGCATTTGAAGCATGCTTTTGAGCGCGCGCCCCACGGTCACGGTATCACCCGGGCGCGCGCTTAAAAGCATGCCTCAAGCCTCAGGGGCACCGGTATTGCGGTACGCGGAACACGGTAACAGTTTGCTAAAAGTCCATATTGGGGTATTTTTTGGTGGATCGTAGGCTGCAGATCGCGGGCCCTGCGGGCGCGTGCTCAGCGTGAGGGGACCAGCTCCCGCTAGCAGCGCAAGGCTCTTTGCGAACGATCGACCAAAGGTCCCTTGTGTCTATTCAGAGTAGCACACCGTGTTAGCAAGATGTTATCGACTGAGAACGAGTCGGCGGGAACCTGAACAGTTCGACATACCCTATTAGTCACAAACGTGAAACGTGGGAAGAAGCCACTGAAGCATGTCGCCACCAATAATAAAATGAGAAGGATGGACAATCCACGAATGCACACGAGGTGGTTGGGGAAAGTCGTGTGCCGAAACCCGGTTTCGTATTGTGCGTTCGTATTCATTCTCTCACGGGGTTTTGTATAACATCGATACCAGCTCGTAAATGAAAATAATGCAGAATCGGAACCCGCGGTTGTAATTACAGAGATACTATAGTATCTCTGTAATTACTCTTCCGAACAGCCTGGATGGAGATGGAGGGAGCAAATTAATAATGCCTATTGTGGAGAGTTTGGCATCCTCGAACGAGTTCATTGCCTTATTCAAATATTATTGGGAATTTAGGTTAGTTCTTCATCGTGTATAATATCCGCAGCTGAGGTCTTGACGAATAGTCGACTAAATTCGCTCGCTTCATGTAACCTGCACAGAGTCTATGAATGGGTGGCATGAAAGTATACTGTCGATGCAGAAACGAAACACTCATAATTCAATAGTGCTAATTGTCTATCGTAGTTCTGCTGGGTTCCCTTTGAAGTAGCTGTTTTTGTCTGCGTCTTTATTAGCTTTTTTATCGCTACCTCGAGTCGCGATTTTCTTAGGTCTGTCAAAACGCCACGTTCACACTTTAATAAGTTAGTCAATAATAATAAGTTGGGAAAAAAAAACTTAAAAGCTAAACAGTACACAATTGAGTAACGTTTGTTCTGTTTGTTTGTTGGTAATTTTTTTCTACAGGCACTGCGAGCATAACACAATGGCATCTTCCGACGTAAAAAAACACACACAAGGAAAAAAAAAAAGAAACCCGACTACGTATCGCTTTGTTCTTTACAGGGCCCATAATAAGCGGATTCAAAAGAAAAAAATGTTTTCTTCAACTTCTTTTTTTTTGACAGCTGGTCACCATTTGAGCAGCCCTGCTCCATAAGCTTGCAGGCTTTCCTATTTATATTTTAATGACCGAATCGAAAGAACCAGGGCCTTCCAGTCGTCGAAGACACTTATCTTCGACTCATCGACTCGCTGTGTTGTTTTTTTTTTCGCTCTTCTTTTGGGTGCTCGTTTGTTCGCAACACGACAGCGCTTGAGCTCTTTGTAACGAGCATATTTCTCTGGAGCCAGACAGACAATGCGGCAGGTCTCGCAAGCGGGCCCTTGGCGGCGGCGTCGGCAGCCACAGCTCGCCAGCCGGTGCCGTCAGCTTGGCTCCGAGTTCGAACAAAGAAGCTGTGCCATCGGAACAAAGGCGCCCTGGGAGGCATCCGGATGCTCCGTTTGCACCAGGCCCTCCCCCGCGACCCTCGCCCCAAGCGTCTACTCCGCGCGCCGTTACCTTCGCGGTACCCCCCCGCTGATTTACGGGCGGGGGTCAGCACAAAAGAGCGCAGAAAAAAAAAAAAAAACTAAAGTGCGCACGCCGCACTGAAACACGGCTCACGGACCGGAAGGAGCAGGGGTCGAGATGAGGAACACAGGAATGTTCCTCTCCCCGAGAGGAAAGGCGGTGGGGGGGAGGGGACGGCCAGGAATTTGCCGGAACCAGCTTGGGAGTCCGAGAAGCCTGCCTTTGCCCATTGGAGTTTCTTCCACGAGGGCCCCGCGAGTAGCTCCGCCGATTTTCGGACGGTG